TAAAACTCGTAATTTCTTTTTGCATTATATTTTTTCCGATGATGATACTAGATTAAATATTCTCAGAAAATGTCTTATAAGTTTTTTTGTATTATTTTTAACTTTATACATTCTTCACGTATTAAAAACTTGCAATACATTTAAACTTCTAAAACTTTATCTGTACTTAAAAATTTATTAGAATAATATTAATAAAGAAAAAGATAAACAAATTGTAAAAATGGTATACAAAGAGGATTATTGGCTTTTAAAGGTGAGTACCTAAGTTCTGGAATTCTAACTTAAAAATTATAAAAATACCATTTGGGTCCTCAAGACAAAGAAAAGTTTAATTAGAACATTTAAATAAACTAAAGAGCTTTTTTTCTAATCAAAAAGAAAAATATGACTAAGCTAAACGCTTAAAATATAGACTGGGGTTAATAAGCTAATTTTTTTTTTATACTGAATTAATCATAATTATTTAAGAAACATTGAACACAAGATAAGCTAAAACAACTTAAAAAATCCTTAACACGAATTTTTTTATACTACACAATTACATTGACCTGTATAGGACCTCTTCTCCCACTCTTCAGATTAACTTGTAACGCTTATTTGTAAAAAAATTATATAAAAGTTTTGTTTCTGATAACAATTATTTAAGGGTACTAAAAATAATTTTATAATTTAAATTTCTGTTATTATATGTAATAATTTTTATTCTTTTAAAAGTTCGATTTTCTTCTTAATGTCTTATCGTTAGCTCCTTATAATGACCTTACCCTTTAAAAAATATCTATCTATAATTGAGTTAAATGTAAGGGTATAACTAAATACAACTATTCAAAAGATTATCAAGGATAATTCCTTAGTTAAGTAGGGTCAAAAGAACATTAGCTTTATTAATAGCAGTAATAAAAAGATCCAGAAGAGTTCTGTTGTAAAAATTCTTAGTTTATTATGTATAAAAATATAGATTCATAAACTAAGTGACACAATTATAAAGACAGTATTGCAAAAGTAAATTAAAGGTGAAAGTTAGACAAAGAGCTTATAATATTACTTTTATAACTTAAAAAAAAAGTTGCCTAGTTATTATAACAGTTAACTCTTTTTTACAAGAAAAAAAAATTCACAAAATGTCTTAACGGTTTAGATGGACCTGTTTTATTTAAACAAAAAAAAGCTGTTTTTTTAAGCCGCTGCTTAGAAATAAGTTGTCTTCATCACACCTTCAGATTTAGAATGAAAAGAGATACTATAAAATTAATTAAAATATTTTATATTATGTAATATAAGAAAAGTAAGAAGTATCTCCGAAAGTTTGATCATGGCAATCTTTGTAGGAGAACAAGCTTTAAATTAAAAAAAAAGCGATCTGGACTGTTTAGACATTCAACAAGAGACAAGGCAAATGTTAACATCAGTTGAACCTGTTATCAAAATTCATCATAGCTTTACTTAACTAATCCGGTATTCGAATAGGGGCCTACGACAAAAACAGAGAAGCGACTGTTTAAGGTTTTATAAAAATTATATTAACTTACTATTCAAAAAATTTACAATGTTCTTATAATGTGCACTTTCCTTATACCTAACAAATCTCTTTGAATAAGTAGTACAAAAATGTTCTTATTTAATTATGAGTTCATGAAAAAGTAACTCTTTTAATGCAATACCATAACACAGGCTTAAATCTATATAGACTTCGATAGTTAATAACATTGGCAACTGTAAACAGTAGATATTATACGTACTAACTAACGCATAAAAACAAAAGGAATTGGTAATTAACATATTCAAAATATTTTAACTTTCTAATGAAAGGAATTAAAAGTGCATAAATTCAATTTATATTTGATTTGGGGAAAAGTACTTATTATATATAATTATTTCATCTTTCTCTTTAATAAGTTTTAGCGTATAAAATACATTTAAAGTACCTGGTGTTCTAGGCAGCACAGCTAACTGCATACTACAACTATTTTTTCTGCAACTTCTGTGGGTTTTAGCATATTAACAATATTCATGTAAACGGTTATATACATTTAGCAAATAATAATTTAAAAATTATTTTAAAACTACCAGAACTTTATGACATTTTTCGTTAATTGTGTTACACATTAGCAGAATATTAAAAATGAAACTTTGAGGTGGAGCTCGTATTCCTGGCTTTAACTTTTATTCCTTAATGCACGTTTAGATTGCACGCAGTTTTGTAACTCTTAATTTAACTTTAAAGTATTTAGTAATAATGTTATCTTAAAAAAACACTACCTTGGATGGTGCTATGTGAAGAGTGAAATATATTTATATTGTTTTTAAATAGCTACCCCACAGTACATTCTTTAGGGATGGATAAAAGTAAAAATTATAGCCTTAATAAAAATTTTAATTTCGTAAAAGGTAATTTTTAATCACTTTTAACAAGTAATAAACCTAAAAACTCATCTAAGTATTTATCAAAACTTGGGTAAAAAGTTTGAAGTCACGTCTTTTAGGAAAAATTACGTTTACTAAGAGACATCCAAAATTTTCACTAAACTATTTATTAAAATAACTCCAGAATACCTTATGGTATAATTGAAAACCACAAGCTTTGTCACTTGCGGTTATGGTTTTACAATTATTAAATATTTGTACCTATTGCACAACGTCTTAACAAATGCAATGGTAAAAGTTTATATAACCTTTTACAGCTTATTAAAATATACTGTAAATAAACAAAAAGAAAAGGTATACTACGGCATTCCCGTATTGGGAAACCAATAATATTTTTTTTAAAAAATTCATTAATAAAATAAATATTAGGTTTTAAAAGATTTAACGCGTCTCCAAGCTTGATATAAGCAGAGCGAAAAGGTAAAGAATAAACAATTTATAACTACTATAAAACCCGAACAATTTATAGCTATTATAAAACCATGTAACTAATTTTTACAAATATTTTTAAATTTTAGCTTCAGATATACTAAGCAATTTTAGATAATCAATATATTATTTAAGAATATTTGCGTTTATTAGTAAACTATACGTCTTTAAAAAGTTTAGTAGTTATAAATTTTTATGATTAATATAGTTTTTAACAATGTTTGGTTAATTTAAGTGATACTGTGCGGTGCAGCTTTTTAAAGGAAAATATTTTGTTTAATAACAGCTCTTTATAACTCTAAAAGAAGCTAAAAAGCCCTAAGAAAAAAAGGAGAAAAAGTAGGCCGCAGAAACTATTTTTTTTTAAACGTACATGACCGGAGGTGACAATATAGATATTTATATAAAATAACAGTAATTATTTTAATCGGTAAACTTACTTTTTCATACTCTAAATAGTGTAATCAAACTTATATTATTAAGCTTTTAGGTTGTCAAATCTTTTTTACTTTATCTTTTTTAATATATAAAAGGCAAAAACTATAACTGTTATTAAAAATATAGTCTTCTAACGATGACTTAACTCAGCTCATTTAAATTAAAATCGAATTTATATAATCTCAATTTTCTTATAATTCTGAACGTTATTACTAAAAACTTGTTTTACTCTGATCTTTTTAAGTTTTTTAATTTTTTTACCATATTACTCTTAAGACTTTAGACTCCAAGAGCTTCGATAGCAATCCAATTTATATGGAAGTTTTGAGGACAAACAAAAATTGGGCATAATTTAAACTTAATCAAAGGCTTCAATTGGTATATAATGTTTTTCTTTTTTAAAAATCAAAATTGGTTGGCTCTAATTATACCCAATTTTTAAGAGCGTGGTGCAAGCGGATCAGTTAAGTGAACGTTAACGCTTTCATTTCAAATAATCTTCTTTCCTACAAGTCTAGATTCTAAATAAGTAAATAGATTAAAATTTAAATATAAGTTATGGTTTTTTAGTTATCGTAAATTATAAAGCTTCTTAAGCTTAACACCGTTAAACTCTTAAAAAATTTTTTATAAGAAATCCTGGATGAAATAATATATCTAATAATTTAATTTGATTGTTTTAATTTAGTTGAGGAGTTTGGAAAGATTCAAAGTAATTTAAAGTGTTAACATTCTCTAACTAAAGTCTTAATATATAAAACTTGCAGCAACTTCTATACTACGAGGACATTAGTGCATAAGTAGTTGTTATCTCTTTTATTTAACAATTAAGTTTAAGTTACGGCTGTAGAGTTGTAATAATAAATTAATTCTAGTTTTTGATGAACTTCTGTTGTTTTCAATATATTAAGCCGATTTTTAGTTAACTTCTAGCATATTGGATTTTTAAAGTAACTAAACATTATTTTTTTAAACATAACTCATAATAGTATGTAATTATATTTGTTTTATACTGTTTCTTTGATAATGAAAAATAGTAAACTAATGTGCTATTTTCGGGTTTATGGAATTTATATAACAATTTATAAATTGTGTACGAATTATTAAGGAAAGCTCTTTCTATTGTTTAGTCCATTAAATTTAACAAAAAAATTATATTGTTGATTTTAAGAAACAATTTTAATAACTTTTGAAAAGAACAGTTGGTAACCCTTATAATAAAGTTGATCAGTACATTATTTGCCAGCAACTCTTTCACATAAAAAAAAAGGTTTTAATGCGTGTTTCTATTGGCTAATTTTTTTGTTGTAGTACAAGTTTTCAAAGTTAACTATTTGTGTATTATTTATCTACACTTAATAACTTTTCATACTCTAATTTTTTTTTAAATTTAACATATTTTGAAATAATTTTTTTTGAAAAAAAAAAAAACATATTACTACAGTACATTGCTTGGAATGAATAAAGCGTGAAACATCTGGTGAATGAATTTTTTTTAAAAAATCGACCAGTAATATCCTTTTTTTTTACTTATTTCGACCATACTGAAAATAGAAATCTTTTTATTTGAAATTGTTGAGAGCACATGACTATTTTTGATGTAAAAGCTAGTATATAATAACTTCTGGCGGGTGTGCTATCTTGGTATTTTCATACTCTACCTAAAGGGGGCAAGGGTTTCAAGTTTTTTAAGGGTAGAGGCCACAACAATGGACGACGGCAGTAATTTTGGACCTTTAAATAAGATTATTACTGATATTAATAATGAAAATAATAACTCGGAACGCCTCGTTAAAAAAGATAAATGCGATAAGCAAAAGAACAATACTGAAAACAGTTTTAATAATGAATTTTTTCAGTTTGAAAATGTTGATTTTAGTAACCTAATTCTCCCTATTAACGAGTTACTTCCTTTAGGAAACGATAAAAATTCTTTATTAACTTTTCTACCCAATTCGAACTTTAATGTAAACTACACCGGCGTTACAGGAACTTCAAATTTAAATGTTGTGGAGAACAGAATTTATAATATAAATTCCAACACAAAAAATCTAGAGACCTATGTTGGCACTACAACCGAGAGTACAAACGAAAAACCCCATTTAAATAAAACCAAGAACTTAAAAAATATAAAAAATTATGATAATTATAAGAACTACTATTCTACTGAGATTAACACAAGTAAACCACCTAATTATAACCAAAATAATAATCTTACTTATGGTGGCCAGACTGCTGTAGTTACTAACCAAAATCAACTCACCTACTTACCACCGAATGTTTACCAGGAAAAAAACGGGACTTTTGGCTATGCTTATCTTGGAAAAGAAGATAGGCAGCCTACCATGCCCATCAAAGAAAAATTACTCTATAACGAAATTTATAGACTACCAGAAAGTACTATGTATAAATCTGCTTCTCAAATAAAACAGCAAAACTCGTATTATAACACGGCTACAATTTCAAAACCATTTTTATCAACCCATTATAATTTTTCTAACGGAAAGCCATTTTTGCAAGAGGTAAACCGAAATATGGCGTTTTTACCTTCCCCTATTTTGAGCTATAAAACATTAATAGATTTACCTTCAGCATTTTTAGATAATGAAGTAAATAAAAAAACTTTTACTGAGAACGGTGCCTTTTATAAAGGGAAATGCAATGATAGAGCGACTAAAAAAAAAACTAAGGTTAGTAATGAAAAGAATAAGAAGGCCAAAATTAACAAAAAAGTTATCAAGAAATCTCATAAAGGTATTACAAAAATTTCGGAGTTCCACAGTTCGGAAGAGTTAACAATAGAGGAATTGCGCAAACTTACCTGGAGCAATATACCGAAGTATCGCAAGTACTTTCAAAAGTTTTCTGAAGAGGAGAACGCCAACTATAGAAGGTATTATAACCCTAAGTATTGCCATAATGCATCTTCTTCTGAGACATTCGATAAACAGTTGTTTAACTCTAATGTTAACTTTAAAAAAAAGCAAAATATTTTAAATAAATGGCTAATAACTCATGCTGATAACCCCTATCCTTGTGCAAAAGAGAAGATAATTTTAGCACAGCTAACAAGTTCGACTGTAAACCAGATTACACATTGGTTTGTTAATTCTCGAAGACGCAAACGGGATCTTTTGGAAGCTATTAGAAAAAAGAAATAAAAAAATTCTACATTAAAAAAAACTTTATGAACCATACATTTTGAAATTTAATTAACAATATAATATGATTCTAATATTTTTTTAATATTAAGTAGGATGAAGTAACCGTAATTTGAGTTATACCTTATAACCCAGCATTTTAAATTACTTTTCGAACGAAGAAAAAAATATACAATTTAATTTTAGAACAGCTTTTAATAAAACAACTTACTTTCCCTAGGGTATAAAGTTCTTATTTTCTTATTATTTTCTCTTTACGAAATATATCTACTTTATAGGTTTATGAATTACCTTAATATTAATATATAATTTTAGACAACAGTAGTTATTTTTTTGTAATTATAACTAACCATATTTTTCAATCAACTTAATAAAAAATTTCATGTTTTAACTGTAAACAAACTAGTTCGCAACTTCAGCATGTATACTAATATGAAAGTATCTGATAATTATGAAGGATGGTTTTTAACTGATCATCTTAAAAAAAGGCTTGTTCTTCAAAATTATACGTTTCTAGCAAGCGCCTATTTAAAAATCATGAATCGAAAGGCATTTTTAGAGAACTTATTTCGACAGAAAGTGTCTTCAACACGGTGTTGAATAGCAATAGTTATCTTAATGAGATTTTCCAGGCATTTCAAAGTGGAAAATTGGTTTACATGAGAAATGCTTTACGCCTTTACTATTTAGAAGATCAAGTATATAATAAAGTTGTTGATAGCTTAATTTTATTCTTGATGATTAAAATACCAGAGGACCGTAAATTTCGAGCTATCATAATGCGGAAGATTTCTACTTGTAAATCATTGGATGCACGACTTACGTTATTAGCCATTTATATAAAAAAGAAACTGATAAATTTTTAATCGCGTGCTAATATCTACTAAAACATTATTTAAGTCAAAGAAATGCTAAAAGTTATTGAAGCCTACTTTAAATGCAACTACTAATAACAAAGGTAAGTTTATGTACAACTCGAGTTTAGTAGTACATGATGACTACAACAGCAGTAAAATCTTTCTCTCCCCTGATATTTAGTAATTTTACATACTTTAGCAAAGAGTAATCGGCCTCCTCGCTTCACTAGTGCAACAGTATTACAAAAGTTTTATAATAAACTTCTAATTTAAATATGCGGTACAATAATTTATGTAACGTATTTTAATTGACATAAAGCTAAGTTAATTCGAGATATGTATAATTGTTAGAAGTCAAACTTACAAGGGGTATTTTTTTGCCTTCAGAAGGCTAAATGAAGTAATGATATTTATTAAGTATTTACCTTTTATTCGATATTTGGAAAATTTAATCGAAAGTATAATACTTAAAATATACTAATGAGAGTGTTTTTTTTATCTGCTAGATTGTTTCTAGTCCACCTTAAACATTTCTGTGCCTCCTTACCCCCCCTCTTAAATCTGTAGTGTACTTTAATAAAAATAGTATAATAGAAAATAAAAACTTTTTACAAGACAATTAAGTGGAAAGGCTTGAAAATAATAAATTATGTCTGAACTTAGGGTCCCAAGGGAAATAACTCGGCAACTTGTAAACACAGAAGAATTTAATATTTAACAAAAAGTTGAGCGATAGTAAATTATTTAATAAATCATGTAGTAATGTAGCTGCTGTACAGCAACAATTTTAAAGAAAGCTTCCTGACTGTAAGTTATTTGTAATATTGCAAGCAATTAATTAGGACATTTTTAAAAAATTAATAAAAGATGTAAACGAGCATTGAGATTTCTATAAAATTATAATTTCATTATTTTTTATTATTTATAACTATTTTTTCAAAATTCCGCGGTTATACCCTTGTAAATCAGTGAATTAAAAAAAAAAAAATCTAAAGATTGTTTTATTATAAAGGTTATCAGATGCTATTCTCAAAACCGTAACCGGGAACAAGTAAACAGCTATAGCATTTATATAGGAGACAGGACGACGATAATTTCAAAAAAATTGTTTTTCGAACTTACATTGCCGACTAACTAAAGCTTCCAAAAGGTTTGTAGGCAGGCCCGTAGCATAAGAGTAAAAAGATTCGGGCATTCACAAAGCTATAAAAATACATATAAACCTACTTTTCAAGCTTTAAGTATAACGTATACTACAATAATAATCTCTTTTTTTCTTTTTAAACTTAATTTTTAGCCTTACATCACATTCATTTTTATTATTTTAAGGTTTAATAAAATCTATTTGATTATATTAAAGCATTTTAACAATAAAGAAAAATTAAAAATTATAATTTCAGGAAATCTGGAAACTATTTTAACTTTTTTGGTGAGGCAGTTCATAATAATAATAATAATGCTAAAACTAGTTATATTTAGTATTATTTAAACTAGTTTGACGCATTTTTCACTAACTTTCTTTTAAAAGTTATTAAAATAATTTCACTATTATAGTAATAAAATATATTTTTTGAGATTTATTATAGCAATTTTGGATTTTTTTTTATTTTTTTTTTAATTGCACTTTCACAATAATATACTTTTTTAAGGTTTAATAAAATCTATTTGGTTTGATAAAAACAATTTAACAATAAAGCAAAGTTAAATTTTATTTTTAACAGAAAACTGAAAACTATCAAAACTTTTGAGGCAACGCAAGAATAATAGTAAACTTTAATTTTTTCAATTTATCTAGCAATAATGTATAGTGTATATAAGAATTATTAAAAAGATTGTCTTATTATTAAAGGATTTCAAAATAACAATATAATATATTAATTATAGCTTTATTAAAACTATTTTGGCCTTTTTAACGAAGTAATCGCTATAATAAACTTTTTCTTCAAGAATTCTAAAAACTTATTTTTGAGGCAAATAATAATCAAATATATTTTTTAAAAATTATTAAAACTATTTTTTTTTCAAATCTTTAGAACTTTTATTGATGGGGCAATTCAATAATAATAATTGTAAAATTTATTTTTTTAAGATTTACTTTTTGACTTTTTTGAATCTTGATTTATTCGATGGAAAATAAAAAAAAGACAACTTGCAATTTTCATTCCCAAAAAAATCACCAAAAAAGAAAAAATTGAAGTTATTACTAAAAATAACATTTCCGGCGTCTGAAATTTCAAATAATAATCGCGGAGGTTTCGAGTATTTTTATGAATTAGAAGTTTCGAGTCTTTAGAAATGCCTGAAAAAAGATAGCCAAAGTAAATAGTATAAAATATATAAAAAATTTTAATAAACGCGTAGAAATAATATATTAATAATAAATTAGTTGCAAAATAAATTTTCAACACTTAAAATTTTATTTTTATTTTTATAAGTCAAATTAAAAAGACGAATTTCTTTTTCTCTAAATTTTTATTTTTATTTTTTTCCTTCCAAAAAAAATTCTAACAAAATTTACTTTATAATAGTCATTATTATTATTATTATTATTATTACTTTTAGAATTATTTGTAATAAAATTAATTAAAAAAAAAAAGTTTTGTTTTTTTTAAAGGAGAATTTTTTCATTACTTTTTAAAAATTTTTATTTTTTATTTATTATATTTCTTTCAAAAATTATAGATCTTTCACAATTTATAAGTTATATTAAAAATATAAATAAATAATATTAATATTAATAAGAAAGTATTATAAACTTTTCACTTTTGAATTAAATAATTATAAAAAAAATTTTCATTAGTTTTTTATTTTTCTGAAAGAGTAAATTTATGATAACAAAATATAAACTTTAATCAGTATTATAATAGATTCGATACTTTCTTATCAATTTATAATAATGAAATAAATAATAATTATAATAAATTTATGTAACATTTTACTTATTAATAAATAAATATAAAAAAAATTATTTATTATTTTCTTTATTTTTTTTAAATAGTAAATTTTATAGTAGTAAAATATAAACTGTAATAAGAATAACAAATAAATCTGTTATTTTATTTATCAATTTATAATAATGAAATAAATAATAATTTTTTTTTAATATTAAGTAATATATTTATATATTTTTATTATATAATGAATTATATATTAAAAAAAATACTGTAAACAAGAGTTATAAATAAATTCGATATTTTTATTATAAATTTATAATAATAAAACGATAATTATATTTCTTACTGTTGTAAGAATAATTAAAAAAAATCTATTTATTATTATTCTTAAATAATAAAATATTAACTTAATAATAATAAATTAATTAAATATTTTGTTTATAAATTTATAATACTTTTGAAAATTATTTTTTATTTTTATAAAACAAATAAAATATATAATAATTAACATTTTATTTGTAATAAAACGTAATTTTTAATATTGAATGTTTTCAAAAATTTATAATTTATTTTTAAATATTTAAAAAAAGTGATATTCTGTAATTTATTTAGTAATTATATATAATATTTTTATTATTAATAATAAAAAATATTAAGATAATACTTTTTTTACAGCTTTTTTAAAAAAATTTATAAATATTTTATAAAGATAATAAGTTTAAAATAACCTTTAATAGTTTTTATAATAGATTTATAATTCTTGATAAAAAATTATTAGAAAGTATAATTTTGTAGGAACCAAATATTAATAATAAGTATTCATAAAGATTCATGCTAAAAAAAATTATATAATAACTCTAATAATATTTTATAAAAATTTAAAAAAAATTATTAAAAAGTAAAATTATATAAAAACAATATTTATAATTTATTTATTAATAATAATTCAAATTTGTTTTAAAATCAGTTATATGATAGCTTTATATGTTTTAAAATATTTTATAATAAAAATTTAAAAATATTTTTATATTAATAAAAAGGTTTTATGTTAACTTAAATATTTCCTCAATAATATATAATTCTTAATAAAAAATATGGTCAAAAAGTAAAATTATATAGAATCTATATGTTGATTATAATTTATTCATTAATAAAATCTAAATTTTTATATTAGATAAAAAATTATATAATAAATTTATGAATTATTTCTTATAAATTAATAATATTTACTAAAAAATATTTTTAAAAA